AGAGCTCTGCATCAAAAGGTTGCTGGTTTGATTCCCAATCAGACACATGCCTGTGTTTCAGGTTCCATTCAGGTGGCAGAAGATGTTTCCCCCTTTCTGTTTCTCTCTAAAAATCAATTTAAAATATTTTAAAAACTACATGCAAATATAAAAAACGATGGTCTGAAAATAAGCTAGTGCTCTCTAAGGATGTATTTGTAATGAAGGGTACATAAAAGATCAATGGGGGGAAAAAAGACAAATTCAAACATATAATGTATAAGATTCTTTAGCAACTGATTAAAAAAGGGAATTCAAAGTCTCACTTCACATTGCATCCAAACATAAGCAACTCGTGTGGAAGAATTCTTTAGTCAGATTTTAAAAATTAGAAGTAAAATTTCAAGTTTAGAAGCCACAGGGAAAAGACAATACAACCAGACTTGAGAACAAAGCAGTGGTTAATTATATGAAAACTAATGATCAAATTCAAAGATAAAAGAGTGGGAAACCTTCTGAAGGCCCTGCGGGACAGCCTGTCTCCTCACTAAAGCCAGAGGATGGGAGAGGGGCAGCTCACATTGTCCTAAGAGTCCCTGCTCCTCCCCCTCCCAAAGACAGGAAACCTCCTTTTCAGCGAATGTGGTTACAATAGAACCATTATAAAAATATATTTTTTTAAATTAATAAGAAAATCCAAAAGTTCAAAGTTGGAAATACTGCTGGCCATGGCCATTGCCAAGATAAACAAATCTAAAAGAGGATGCTACTAATACAGAAACAGATATTAAAAATATTTGCACTCATTAATAATTCAAAAATACAAATGAAAATAATGTTCTATTATGTGCATTTCAAATTAGTACTATTTTAAAAATATATATTTTATTGATTTTTGACAGAGAGGAAGGGAGAGAGATATAGAGTTAGAAACATCAATGTGAGAGTCATTGATCAGCTGCCTCCTGCACGGCCCCTAGTGGGGATGTGCCCGCAACCCAGGACCCTTCAGTCTGCAGGCCGACGCTCTATCCACTGAGACAAACCGGCTTCGGCAAATTAGTACTTTTAAAAAATATATATATATATTTATATTGATTTCAGAGAGAAAGGAAGAGGAAGAGAGAGAGATAGAAACATCAATGATGAGAGAGAATCATTGATTGCTGACTCCTGCATGCTCCCTTCTGGGCAACAAGACCACAACCCAGGTATGTGCCCTTGACTGGAATTAAACACAGGACCCTTCAGTCCACCGGTTGATGCTCTAATCACTGAGTCAAACCAGCTAGGGCTAATTCTTAATATTAACTTCAGAAGCATAAGAATTCAATTTCAAAGGCTTTAGAAAAAATTCCTTATGAAGGTGTTACTATTATGTTCTTTGTTAGAGTGATAATTGGAGCACTTTTTTTTTTTCTCATTCTGTCATTTTATTACCCAATTATTCGTTACATTTTTCCCATCACTTTACATAACCAACTGTTTTTCATTGTTGTCACACTATTATAAACCACATCAGCAAGTTAATACATAAAGCTTTGCATTTCAAAAAACTAGACACTTTAGTAATAATATTACAAAGATTTTAGCTTCAAAAATAACTGAAAATGAAAAAAATAAACTTTTAAAGAATTAGCATCATAAAATTTATTTATTCCAAGTAAAAATAGAAAATAATATTATGACATTGACCAGATATGAAAGTCCCTGCCAGAAACAACTCTTATTAATGATTGAGAAAGCACTCCTTAAATGAAAAATATGTAAATATGTTTAAATTTTTTCTTAGCAAAAAATCTCTCTAAAAATAACAATGAAAATTTGTCTCAGTACAAAGGCTACATTACTATTGAAAAAATACCAGCATGAAGAAAAGGTACATATTTGACAGTAGAAAAATGATTTCAGTGAATCACAATGTCTAAAGTTTGCAATGAAAATAAATCTGCAATAAAGATTTATGCCTTTTTTCTTTTCTTTTTTTTCCTATTTTTTTAAATACAAACAGTACAAACAGTATTTGCACATAAGAACAAATAGTCGAGGTTAGGTTATAGCCTTAAAAAAATCGACTAGTTCAAGTGTCACATCAAGGAAAGGCCACAACAGGACCTGCGATACCCAGGGGCTTCCCAGCCAAGTTGCAGGTCAGAACACCTCTGTGTTCTTTAAAAAATAACTTTTTTTTTTAAGGACCCTCTCTTTTAATATAACATGAACAACTCGGGGAGAGAGGGGCACATTTATATACAAAACAAAAGAGAACATGTTATAATTTAATAAACGAAAAAAGTTCTCTTTTAAAAAAAATATCAATACAAACAGAAGAATTCTTTCACAATCCTGGCCTGTCCTGCACAATCAACGCTTGATTATAAATATACAAATTAAGGGAAAGTAGTTTCCACCATCTATTCTCAACTTTCAGCACCAAATGGAGTTTAGTTTTTGTAACATATTCTTCGTGACAACGCTTTCACGTTAAGCTTTATGCTGTACAATCTTCCAGCTTTTTTGTTTTTTGTTTTGTTTTGTTTTTTAAATCTCAGTGTTATTTTAGTACATGAAAGAGGGGTGCTTCTTCAAAAAGTTTTGCTTCTCTCATATAATTACGTAGATTTCTGTAGGTTAGATATGATCTTTAATATTATAGTTATAAAGCTCTAACTTCTTCATTTTCAAAAAACACAAATAAGCATGAAAAAAAAATAAAGTTACCCATCTGTTAAATCATTTTTCTTGCAGAATTAAATTAATATATATTTTTTTCTGAATAAACTTACTTAGAAAATATCATTTTTCTCTCCTATATTTCAAAGTTGAGGCATTGCAAAAAGATCATGTCAGTCAGAAAGCAAGCCTTTTTCCTTAAAAACAAACAAACAAAATCTTCAGCCAACTTTTGAAAACTGTCTAGAATACAAAAAGTAGTAGTGCATAACAAAATTTCTTGTACAGATGAGAAAAAAAAAACAAAAAAAAACCTAAAAAAAAACCCACAAAAAACACAAACGTAGAAAACAAACTGAAAACCACAGCTGGGCTGGAAAAAAGCAATTCTTACCAAAAAGCCCAGAGGTAATCTCCAAAGGGGAGAATTTCTAATAAGCATTTTTAATCCAGTAAAAAACTATTTTGTTTTTCCTTTTTGGAAACAAACTATAGTTTTGAGAGCTGGTAATTGCAATGGAACACCTGAGAAACAAAACAGAGTGGGACACGAAAACAAGCAATATTAACTAAAAACAGTACAAGGATCTCACAGCACGTAAAACACAGCGATTTAAACCTAGTCTGCAGTGTCATATCCAGTCAGATTGTCCCCAGATTTCCAAAACATAGAAAGAAGATTAAAAAAAAAAATTCTATCTAGTCTCACAATCATCATGTGTGTTTATATATTACTATCTGCAGCCCAAGAGTGAATGCTAAAAAAAAAAAATGTCCAGGGTAGTATTAGCAGGTCTTAATTCTATTCCAGCTCTACAGGATAAATCCAGGGAATTAAGTAGTGAATGTCTCACCCAGACAACCGACCAACCCAGGCCATCGTTTCTCGCACAGACATTTCTTTAGCATCACCATCACGCAACTTTTTTTCTTAAAGTGTGCCTAGCTTGTCAATCTGACAACTTATCTCTATATACTGTATATATTCCTAGTGTTTGTAAGCTAAAGATGAGCTCTTTGGTTTTCTGGACAAGGTCTGAAGCTATGTAAAATGGTGCAAACACTAGGAGATTGGATCTAAAAGCTCCTGTGTTAGTTAATAGTATACCAGTTGTGAACTGTCAAGTTCATTAACGTCTGACACAGAGGCTTTTAAACAGTTAATTTTGATCACAGTTAGACATAAACGCTTTACTCTATAAGATAAATTGCACAATATATAACAGAGCACCGCAAAGTACTTCATCTACCTTCCACGAATTTGCTTTTAAGAATATCCTACAACTAGGTTGTATATTGGTTGTAATATAGGTCATTCTGTTATGGGATCTTCCTAATTTCAGAAGCATTCCATTTATTGAGGCATGCCTTCTTCCAGTCAATTACCAATTCTTTGAATGAAAAAAAAATCTTGTTCTTTTTATGTTTGTTTAAAAAAATCAGTATTTTATAGCTTATATAGATTCTTAATTTGTGCATTGTGGGAAGGTTTCATACTAGACATTGGATGTAAAATTTATTGCAGACAGCAACCTGATTAAGTAAACATGCAGTCGCAAATAGTGACCTTCCGTTGAAGCCTCCTGAAGTCTCTTCTGATCTCCTTTCAGCGGTGGGTTCTATCCCTAAATTGCAGAAAGTGTGTTGTTGGGTTTTATTCATTGATACCTGAGCCTGGATAGAGTATTATGGTATTAATAATACCATTTTAATAGCAGTAAAGCTATTGCAGCATAAACTTACATAACACTAAGAGATCTAACTGAAATCCTCAGCAAAACAAAAGAAAAATCAAACATGAAGGAAAAAAAATAAAGATTCAGCTTATGAGGTATCCTTACATGTCAAGATAAGAGAGCAACTAAAGGCTTATTTTCATGAAGGGTTGCATTACCCTTGCTCTAAATGACCCCAACTAGTGATTGCTGAATTGTTGTGAAGTTTTTGCTACATCTGCCACCTACTCACGAGTGTTACCTTTGGTAAGTCTTCTCCTAGGGGCAACGCTCTAAGTTTCTGAAAATAAGTGCATGCTCCAGTTCAAAAACAATCGTAACAACAACAACAACAACACAACAGCAACAAACAAAAAACCACAGACATCAACCTGATGGCCGCTGATGAGAATGGCAGTCTGCCGAAACTGGTTTGGCTCAATGGATAGAGCGTCAGCTTGGAGACTGAAGGGTCCTGGGTTCCATTCTGGTCAGGGGCATGTACATTGGTGGCGGGCACATCCCCGGTAGGGAGTGTGCAAGAGGCAGCTGGTCGATGTTTCTCTCTCATCGACGTTTCTAGCTCTCTATCCCTCTCCCTTCCTCTCTGTAAAAAATCAATAACATATATTAAAAGAAAAAAAAAGACTCATTTCTTCTTTAAAAATCGAGAACGAATGCACAGATTTCCAGAACACTGTAAGCCCTGAGGCAGTGTCCTCTCGGTTCCCTCTTTTGTCGTGGACTTCAGTACGCCTGGCCAGGTCTGCCCGGGGCTCAGCTCCAATGGAACCGCAGGTGACCAGGGCGGTCGCCTCCCTCCTTCACCAGCGGCCGGTGGAACTCCCGCCTGGCGCGCGAGTGGATGCTGGCCCAGCAGTACTCGCAGTAATACTGCAGGCAGGTGACGTTGGCACAGAAGAACGGGGCGAACCTCCCCCCGCAGCGCGTGCCCTGGCACTCGTCACACATCTGATCATCCAGCACGTATGGCTTCACTTCCACCCGCTTGTCAATGTCATTGTGTTGGAGCTGCACAAAGCGGGCGCTGATGGCTGCGATGAAGCTCTGCTGGTTGGAGAACGCCACTCGGCCAGCACCTTTGGGGTACTTCAGTTCTGGGTCCGTATCAATGCCGGCGTAGCAGACACCACCATACAAACCGTCCATGATCATGGCCAGTTCAACAGCTCGAAGGGGTCGTGGAACTCCCCCAACAAAGATAGTCTTTCTGGGGTCCAAAGGCTGAGAACCATCCATTACAAAGTCACTGTCACTTAGGTTCCACGGTCGAATTTGCACCGGTTTATCCTTGATGGTGGGGCTGGACACGCACAGGTACAGCTTCCCGTCTTCCTCCAGGCAGGCATCTATCAGAGCTTGCACGGAGCTCTCCTCCTGGAACAGCAGGAAGGCATAGCCTTTCGGAGGGAAGTACGACTTGGTTTCGGCTTTGTGAGGCCAGTCCACCACGAGAGGTCCAAACCTGAGGAAGCTGGCGGTGATCTCATCTTCGTCGATGTCAGGAGGAAGGCCTCCAATAAACACCTTCCTGGAGTAGCGCTCCACTCGCTCCCCATTTTGGCAGCCAGTGGGGGAGCTTAGGTCAGAGAACAAGGACTGGTCGCCGCCATGACTGTCGTCCAGGAAGGCATCTTCAAATGGAAAGAGAGAATACAGACTGTTAAATGCCATAGCATTATCTGTTCCTGGATGATGGAAATTTATTCCCATGAGTCCTTCCAGAGGCTCATGATCAGTCCTTATCATATCCATTAAGGAGTTCTCCAACGAGTGCAAGTTAAAAGTGTCATAGGGCCTACTCCGGTCCTGGAATGGCAACAGATTGTTGCCGTTGTCAGTGGTGCCGAACGCGCTGTCCTCCATCCAGGACTTGGGGGGCAGCGGGGCCGCGCGGGCGATCTTGGGCGGCGCGATCGCGCTGCTGAAGGGCCTCTTGGGCGGCGAGATGGGGTTGAGCGGCGAGGGCGCCCCGACGCCCACGCCCACGCCGACCGCGCGGCGGGGGTCCCCGGCGGGCAGGCCGCCCCACGGGGCGGAGGGCGCGCTCCAGGCGGCGGCGCTCCCGCCCTGGTGCGCGCTCCAGCAGGACGAGGCGGCGGCGGCGGCGGCAGCGGCGGCGGCCCGGGACGCGGACGGCTTGCTGGTCAAGATGAGCTGGTGGTCGTACGCCGCGGCGGCGGCGCTCCGGGGCGCGAAGGGCGCCTGGCTGGGGCTGGCGGGCGAGCGGCGCTGCGGCGGGAGCTGCGGGGGCTGCGGCTGCCGGGCGGGCGCCGGCGGCGGCTGCTGATGGTGCTGGGTCTGCGCCAGGCCGATCTGCGGAGAGAAGGTGCCCTCGAAGATGGAGCTGACGTTGTCCGGGAAGTTCTGGAAGAGCTTGGTCCCGTGGACGTGGGCGATCCCCTGGAAGAAGCTGTCCTCCTCCGCGTTCGTGGTGCCCGTGGACCAGGTACTGCCGAAGGACAGCGACAGCGGCGACGAGCCGGGCTCCGCGGCGGAGTCCTGCGGCGGCGACTGCTGCGGGGGCTGGTGGAAGCTCAAGCCCGGCAGGAGCAGCGACTCCATCTGCATCTTCTCAGGGCCGTTGGGGGCCGGCGGGGCCGCCGCGGCTGGGCTGCTGTGGTCCGGCTTGGGGGTCTCCGAGGAGAGGGGCATGGACGGGGTGTCCGCTGCGCTGGGCTCCGGCTGGAGCTGCTGCTGCTGCTGCTGCTGCTGCCGCTGCTGCTGGGGCTGAAGCTGGGTTTTGCTTTTGTCCATCAGTAAATCCTCCTGAATGGTCTGCGCAGCCTTTCTGAGGTCTCGGTTCCCTTTCTGGACTAGGGAGACAGGTGCTTCTAAGACAGAAAGACAGCAATTTCGCCAGGTCTTTCTCTTTTTTTCCCCCTTCACCGGAACTCAGAGCTTTTGCCCTCTGGTGCACTTTTGATATCATTTCATCACTTCACCTCTGACCCAGTGCCTGGATAATTGGCCAGAAGCAGCACATGAAACTGTGAGCAGATGAAGTCTCATACTCATATTAATCTAAGTGTAGTATAGCATTTGTTTCCTGTTTAATGAAATGCAATAAGCCTTTAGATTCCCATTTTCCCCAGACAGAGAAGAGCCACTCAATTGCCTTTGTTCTAACTTAACCTTTGAGTTTTTGTCAGGAGCTAAAACACTGGCTGCAGTATCACCACAGGACTCCTTATCCAATGCTGATAAAAAGGTCTCAGAAGGCACTTTAACCCTATATTTGGCTCAGTGGATAGAGTGTCAGCCTTCAGACTGAAGAGTCCCTGGGTTCAATTCTGGTCAAGGGTACATGCCAGGGCTGTGGGCTCCGATATCCAGGAGGCAGCCCATCAATTATTCTCTCTGACTGTTGATATTTCTCTCTCTCTCTTTTTCTCTCTCATCTCTGAAATAAATTACATATATAAAATTATTATTATTATTATTATTATTATTATTATTAAAGAAGGCTCTTTACTCTGTTCGTTCATGTCCCAAATTCACTTGGCTTGTCACAAGTAGGCAGGTAGAAATGGGGTAAAAAATTGCAACTCACAATAATTCTGTACCCAAGTAAGCTAATATTTGTAGTGTAAGGCAAGGCGGAAACACCTGGGCCAGCAGTCTGCTTCCGGGAGGCCTTGCAACTCTGAAGTCCTGACAAAAACCATCCCAGCGGCCTTGTATCTCCAGCCAGGTGTGGTGCTGCCCCATGAGCCAAGCTCACAGCAAGGTCACCAGGCTCTGGCAGTCCTTGTCAATGGTGGCCCCCCACTCCTTCAGTGCCCACGTGTGGCATGGAGGTGGTCTTTCTAGCAGGAGTCCTGTGAAAGTCAAGAGTGCCAGCACTGGGCCCCAGCTGGGGCCTGGGCAGTGTTACATAGCTCCTGCAAGGCCTGTGCCACTAGCTCCACATGGTTTCTCTGATTTGGGAGATAATGGGTCCAGGAGTGCTGTACCTGGGAGGTGATGTGGCACATCACTGCAGTCACAGGCATGCACAGCAGCCCCGGGGCAGTGGCAGGCCTCCTGAGGCAATACTCCAGGTGGTGGGTCATCTGCCAGAGGGTGCATAACCTCAACTAGTTCTCCTAGCCTGGTGACTAATCAGCTCAATATTCATAATTCAATTCCAACTCCCTCCCCTAAGGGTGAGAGTGTGTGTGTGCTGTGCTGTGTGTGTGTGTGTGTGTTCACGTTAGGAGATAAAAACAACAGGAATAAGAACATAAAGCCAAGCCACAAAGAAGTGTAGAATGAAAATGCAGACTGTTAAGACCTCTACCCTTGAAATTTAGTCACAACCATTCTAGTAAGATAGAATTATATCTATTAACAGGGGATGCAAAAACTCTCATAATTAGATTAAGACAATAAGATTGCAACCTTATGCAGTCAAGAGGATTATTGAACAAGAATAAATTAGGAGGATGAGAGGATCAGATCACAGAAAGGATTAATCTCCATAATGTAGTGACCCAGAGTTGAAAAGAGCCCTATACCAAGAGACACTGATCAGTCTGACCCATCTCATCAAAAATGTTTTGAATGCTTCTTGTTTTTCATCATTATAGGAAGTTTAGACAATCTTCAGGGAAACTTATCAGCCCACTGCAAACTTTTGATCTATGAAATCATATGCTCTGTGATTTCAGAATTTTTCTAATGCATTACAACTAATTTATGCTTCAAGATACAGGTCCCATGACCCACAAAGGTTATAGGTTCAGACCAATAACTCAGCACCCATAGACAGTACTGTTATTGAGTAGTAAACATGTCATCAAAGTCATTCAAACTCTTCTTGTTTTGTGACATGTTTCTAACATTTAAAATGTTCACAAACAGCCGAAACCGGTTTGGCTCAGTGGTAGAGTGTCGGTCTGCGGACTGAAGGGTCCCGGGTTCGATTCTTGACAAGGGCATGTACATTGGCTGCGGGCACATCCCCCACCGGGGGACGGCTGGTCAGTGTTTCTCTCTCATCGACGTTTCTGGCTCTCTATCTCTCTCCCTTCCTCTCTGTAAAAAAAAAAAAAATCAATAAAATATATATATTAAAATGTTCACAAACAAATAAAAACAGTTTGTTTTTTTTTAAGAAAACTTATACATTCCAAGTGCTTATAAACCACTTAAACTTGAAGGACTATTTTTTGACAGAACTCAGAGTTTGTTATTTTCATAAGAAAATATTTATTTTTAATTGCCTTAGAAAAATATTCACCACTATAAAAAGATTTATAATCAAATAATGAATTCCAGTGCAGCAGAGAGGATTTTTAGGGTAGTGAAATTACTCTGTATGATAAACTATGGTGACTATATTTCATTATAAATTGTCTAAACCAATAGAATGTATATTCCCAAGCATGAACCCTAAGGTAAACTATGGGTTTATCTATGGGACTCTGGGTAATAAAGATGTGTCATTGTAGAGTCACCAATTATAACAAATATACCACTCCGATAGGGGATATTCAGAATAGGGTGGGCAGTGGACATTTGGGAAAACTCTGTATTTTTCCCTCAATTTTACAGTGAATATAAAACTGTTCTAAAAAGTCTATTTGAAAAAAAATCTACACAAAAGACCTATTGTAGTTATATATTTTATGTTTAGAGTGAAGGGTCATTGAAAATCATACGTGGTCACCTTATGTGGGTCTAAAAAATGTAAGATCGTGCAATGGAATAAAACCAACTGATCTCATTATCTATAGCTCGCAGGTATCTGTTCTTTCCATTTTAAAAAGATTAAACGATGATGCAAATTCCATCATGTTGAGAAACTCCTGTTTGCACCTATCGTAACTTCATCTCTGGTTAAGAATGTAGCTCAAAATGTTAAGAAAATTATCTAGCCTGTGGAAATTCTACAGAAGAACCAAGGAATAAAATTCAGTCCTCCAAATTTTCCAGAAAACAAAGACCCTCGTTGGGGGGTTATTAGGGTGTGGAGTTACATCGTCCCATGAATCATGCTCTATAAAGCAACCAGGCTGGCTAGCTTTGACAAAATTTTCTCCAAAACTATTACCATAAGACCATTTATATTGGCCTTCTGTGGAGTTTAGAGAATGTGGGTTTCTACCTACCCTCTCTTACTCAGAGTACTTGAAATTGTCCTGTCAGCTAGGGATTTGAAAATGAGGTGTCTCCATGAGGATGGGTGGTTTGCCTAACTTGGTTTTGTCTAGTTGGGTGGTCACATGCAGATCCTGAGTACTTGAAATGTGAGTAGTCTGAATTGAGCTGTGTTCTAGGAATAAAATGAATGCAGAATTTCAAAAACTGTAGGAAAAAAAAGTAAAATATCTCATTAATATTTTTAATAGTAATGATATGCTGAAATGATTATGCTATGGATGTATTGGGTTAAATATATTATTAATATGTATTTTAAATGGTTTTGTTATGTGGCAACTAGAAAATTAAAAAAATACATATGGGATTCAGAATATATTTTTGTAATAAATTTCATGATTTCAATATTAAATGCATTAAGTTCTATTTTATTAAATCTTATAATTAAACCCGCCATGTCTCCCAAATTGTTTGGTGTTTGCCTCATCCTTCTTATACAGTTATCCTTGAGAGAGGCCTCAGTTATACTATTTTGGTTCACCCTAGATGCATAGAATCATGCTAAGATGAAAACAAGTGTTTCAAATAAATGGGGTGATTGTGTTAAATCAACTGGGAATACAGGTAGTGAAATGAAATTCTTCATATATCTTTAAAATCTTTAGTTTGTAGATACAGCTTAAAAAAGACTTTCAAACTTACTGTTTCAAAGCTCATAGTTATGCATAAATCAAAATCTCTGACAAGCCCTATCTGGTTTGGCTCAGAGCCTAAGCCTGGAGACTGAAAGGTCCCAGGTTCAATGCAGGTCAAGAGCAAGGTATCTCCATTTCAGGCGCCATACCCAGCTCCTGTTGGGGCATGTGGGGGAGGCAACCAATTGATGTATCTCTCTCACATTCATGTTTTTCTCTTTGTTTCTGCCCCTTCATTGCACTTTTTATAAAAATCAAATGGAAAAATATCCTCAGGTAGGCATTACCAAAAAAGTGACAAAAAAGAAAAAGAGGAGAAACAATTATGTTTTCATCTTGGAAATACAAATAGGGCACAGTGAATTTACTTTTGAACAGATTATAGCTCAGCATTTATTTTATTTTTTTAAGGTATAATTTGTTACACAGTGCTGTATCTCATTATAATTTGTCTTGAGGTTTCAAAATATGAAAGGGAACTAGGTTCTCTAAGAATCTAAACAACAAAAAGAAAATGAATCAGGGCATTTAAAAGAAGGGATATAATGCAAGGAATTTGTTATACTGGTGAAGGAAGAGTTGAGAAGACAAACAAGAGACAGGGGAACAACCAGACATCATAGGGGAGACACTACCATCATAGAGCGTGGAATAAGAGTGTAAACATATTACCAGCCCTCAGGGCCCAAATCTAGGAGGGAACCTGGAACTTTGAAGGAGATGGTGCTCCAGGTAGAGAAGGAGTGGAGAAATGCAGTGCTTCTCCCTTCCTCTCATCCTCTAATATCCTTCCAGTGTCTGCTAGAAGCCACTTGGTGAAAAGCTTGGGAGTCTCAGCCTGCACTGTGGGACTACCTGTGATAAGGAGCAATGGAGGTGAGGAGAGAGGCTGAGCTCAGACAAGTCCCAGCCTGACACAGTCCATCCTTGTTGGCACAGCATTTATTCTATGTCGTCCTCATGGAACTGCATGGATTAAAGGAAGAACAATGATGGAAGTATATGTTGGAAATATTTTTAATTGAGTAAAATTAAGGATGCATCCAAACAAAATTTTGTGTTGCAATTAAAGCAATGCTTAGAGAAAAATGTGGGGTACTAAATGAATATATAATAAAAGAAGAAAAGCCTATCTCAAACAGGTATGGAAAAGCAAACTTGCCCGGCCAGCATGGCTCATTGGTTGAGTGTCAGGCTATGAACCAGGAGGTCACAGTTCAATTCTAGATCAGGGCACATGCCTGGTTGCAGGCTTAATCCCCCCCCAGCATACAGAAAGCAGAAAATCAATGATTCTCTCTCATCACTGATGTCTATCTCTCTCTCCCTCTCATTTCCTCTCTAAAATCTATTAAAAACAAACGAAAGAAAAGAAAAGAAAAGCAAACCTGTACCAAATAAATTAGGAATAAAATTTAATAATAACCACAGAAAATAATGAAATTGAAAAAAAATATGATAGATAAAATGAACAACTTAAGAAATTGGCTCTGTATAGATAAGTTAAATTGATAAATATCAGAGAAAAAGGAGGTGTTCAAATCAAGAACACAAGATCAATAATAAGAAGGCAGATATTAATGAGGTAATATGAGGATTTTATGAACAATATTGTGCCGATGCAATTTACAATTTAGATGATTATGAACATATTCCTTGAAAAACATATCTTACAAAAGCTATGTTGGATTTTGTGAGTACCTCTGAAATACATACATATATATAAATTTGTTATTGTTGAAAGTATTACCTATGTTTCTTTATCCCCTTGTTGTCCTCTCCCAGCCTGCACCTGCCCCCAGCCCTGGCCTTCACCCCCAAACATTGTCTGTGTCCATTGGTTATGCTTACCATGTATGCATACAAATTCTTTGGTTGATCTCTTTTCCCCCTCCTCTATTGCCCCCTCTCCCTCTGTCTAACCTCCGTGCCTTTCCTCTGAGGTTTGATGGTCTGTTCAATGTTCTGTGTCTCTGGATCTATTTTTGTTCATCAGTATAGGTTGTTCATTATATTCTACAAATGAGTGAGGTAACATGATACTGATCCTACTCTGACTGGCTTATTTCGTTTAGCATAATGCTCTCCAGGTCCATCCATGCTGTTGCAAATGGAAGAGTTCTTTCTATTGTACCACAGCATAGTATTCCAGTTTGTAGGTGTACCATGATTTTCTAATCCACCCATCTGCTGATGGGCACTTAGGCTGTTTCCAAATCTTAGCTATTGTAAATTGTGCTGCTATGAACACAATGTTGCATATGTTCTTTCTCATTGCTGTTTCATGTTTCTTGGGATATGTTCCTAAGAGTGGAGTTACTGAAGTTTCCACAAATTAAAAATTGAACTCCAATTTGACCTAGTAAAACCTTTGAAAACCTCTGAAATCTTTTCCATTGAATCACAAGTATGCTGTGCTCTGAAGAGAGATGAAATAGCTTCTGAAGATGCCATAGCATACTTTACAATGTTCACCTGAAACCCAGTCCTGATAGAGCTTGAAGCTCCTGCCTTCAGGCTGTGCTACCAGCATATTGAGGACACCAGGTTCATAACTGGCTTGGGGTCAGTTCTGGAACTTCCAGTCAACAGTGGCTCCTATCAGCTGAAAATCAGATGACCAGGTGAACCTGATGAGGGCTGTTTTTCCTAAGTATCTGTTCACATCTCTCTATTTTTCCAAGAAGTCCTGAGAGCAATTTTATAACTTGTTCACTCATCCCTCTAATCACACTAATCTCAACCAGAATTCATCAATGATTGTTAATAGCAAAGTCAAGCGGCTCTGCTCAGGATGTGCAGGTGCAGAACGGGAAGGGAGCCTTGCATTGGTCATGTTAAAATCCTTGTTCTAGTTCAAAGGGCTGTGTTGCTGCTTCTGCCCTGGGTTCTCAGAGCACTCCCCACTTGTCTCCTCCCTGCCATGTTAGGCGAACTGAAGGTCCCCTTTTATTTACTTGGTGTCATGGAGCTTGGTGCTTCCATTGAAAATTATTTTCTACAGCATCTCTAAGATAGTGACTATAGTTAATAATGCTGTATTGCATAATTGAAGGTTTCATGGGTCTTATCTCAAAACACATTTACGTTCTGTTAGGGTGTCAGCCCCCAAGTATTGTTTTCTATAAGTTTTAGACTTAATCAGTTATTCTATTATCCCAGTAATCATTCTATCCCAGTGGCGCTACAACCCAGTAACCCTTACCTTTTGAAGACATAACCAATCTCAGCAAGTGGGTGTGGCTTTCGATGGTTATAAGAGGTTAGTCTTTCTGGAGGCCACTTCACTCTTCCCCAGGGTAGAGTGACTTTCTTTGGAGCTGCCAGTTGAGCGCAGAGAGTTTCTACCGACTCTGATTTTGAAAGAACTTCCAGAGGTGAGTCCACTAATTTTAAAATCTGGTGAGTATGGAATTTAATGTAAATATCTTCATGCTTATGTTCTCTCATGCAAATAATTTCAATTTATCTGTTGGAATGCATGGATTTTCTCCAAGCTAATAAGTAGTTTTCCTACTTAATTGAATTGATATCAATATTTAAAATATCTATGATTAGAACATTGCAATATATTGATATTTGCTAGAATATATTACTTAATTATTTTTTATTTTATTACCATATTGCTAACTGGATATTTTTTAGGACTTAAAAGAGATTTCTTTAGTTTTTATGCATTTATGGAAATCGAAAACTACCTAAAATATTCACCCAAATCTGGATTCAAACCAGAAACCTTGGAGTGTTGGAACAACGTTTCAACAATTGAGCCTTCCAGAGAGGACCGGGGTCATTGCTTATTTTATTTTATAATTTTTTTTTATTGATTTCAGAGAGGAAGGAAAAGGGAGAGAGAGAGAGAGAGAGAAACATCTATGATGAAAGAGAATCATTGATCAGCTGCCTCCTGCAAGCCCCACTCTGGGGATCGAGCCCACAACCTGAGTATGTGCCCTTGTTTGGACTCTTCAGTCCCCAGGCTGATGCTCTACTCACTGAGCCAAACCAGCTAGGGCTCATTGTTTATTTTAAACAAAAAAGATGCTGAGGGCCCTCTGGTCCCATTTTCTCATTTGTGTCTTAACATAAATCCAACCCATCTAGATTTGTTTTGTCTAGGTTTGTATTGGTGGTAAATTAATAAAAAGATTAGATACCTACTTAATAGGTAGATGGAGCTCAAGCAGTCTTATCTTTATAGAAAGATCGTTCTTTCTTCATCTGTGAAGAAGAATAACTTTTTGTATCTCTCTCTCTCTCATTTTGTCTGCCTTTTATTTTAATTTTAGAAACATGAATCCTGAAACCTTGCAAGTCTTGCAGAGGGAGCTCACCTGCTCCATCTGCATGAACTACTTCAGAGATCCGGTCACATTAGACTGCGGGCACAGCTTTTGCCGTGCCTGCCTGTGGCTCTACTGGGATGGGTCCCCACCTCCAATGTGCTGTCCCCGTTGCAAACAAGTGCCAGAGAAGGCAAATTTCAAAACCAACATCCAACTCAGGGACATGGCTGCCCTACGCAGAGAGGCCAGAGCTGACGCTGCCAATGGCTCCGAGGAGCTGATCTGTGTGGCACATGATGAAGGAAGTTTGGTCTTTTGTGATGCTGAAAAGAGCCTGCTCTGTGGGCCGTGCTCTGATTCCCTGGAGCACATGCTTCACAACCACCGCCCAGTACAAAGTGCTGCTGAGGAATTCAGGGTAAGTAGTGCCTCTCATGCAATTTGGTAGATGTAGGCTCCTAAGGGAGAGAAAGAAGACAATAATGAAAAGGAAATGGATTGATGATAATGGAGCTGGTGGAGCTGGTAATGTTTCAATGCAAAATTCAAAATTATAAGTGTATCCTGGCAATGCTGTGGGTCACCTTAGACGCTATAGTCATAGTGGTGTTTTCCCTTTGCTAAGGTAGATTTCCTTAGATATGTTGTCCAAATATTGATATGTAGAAATATGAAAAGATCAGACCTCTCCATTGTAACTTAAGGTGACTGCTATCAACATCTGTCTTTAACCATAAAAAAGAGGATAACATTTACAATAACCATCTTAGGTGTCACGAAAGCTCATGGTTATTTTGCAGAAGGAACTTCGCAAGAGAATGGACACCTTGTGGAATATGGCTGAAGAAATGCAAAACACTGTGAAGATAGAAGCTAGCAAAGCTGAGTCACTGGAGGTAGGAATGAACATGTTCTGTTTATTTTTACTTTTATATGTTTATTAAGGCTCAGTGCATGAAAATTCTTGCACTGGAGTGGAGTCCCTCAGCCCGGCCTGCCCCCTCTCTCAGTCCAGGAGCCCTCAGAGGTGGGAGGTGACCCAGCGATCAGAGGAAGGCAATGCCCCATCACATCTCCGCTGCCCGCCACTGCAGGCAATGCAAGCCTCAGCCCTGATCACCTGAACCTCTGGCGGCCCTGGAAAGCTGAGTGGCTGCCATGAACCTCAGGCCAGCCCTGGTGACTGGGGGGCTGAAGGGACTCGGGGACTCTGGAGGATTGTGTAAAACAATGCATACAGTTGTCCCTCTGCATTAATGGATTTGCAACATCAGGTCAAAGACATAGTCTTTGGTTTTTCATGGATACATCTTTGAAGAAAACCTGCACACATAGATATTGTTCAAGGGTCAATCAACTATGTGTATGCAAGGTGTGAGAAGTATTCCCAGATAAAATATGAAGGTTTGATAAATCTTTTCAAAAATGGAGTATAATACAGAACCACACTAAGTTTGACTGTGAGGGAGAGGAGAGGAATAAAATAGGACCAAGAGAAAAAAATAGAAATTTTAAAAATTCTGTATATTATGGTGTATGCTCAAATATTTTTAAAATACTTAATAGAAAAATCAAGCAAAGGAACAATAGAAAAAGAAGGTAATGGAGAGGAAATAATTGACAGAGTAAGAACTTCCAAGGGTGAGAGAGATAGAAAGATCATTGATTAGAGAGAATCACTGCTGGGCTGCCTCCCTACTGGCATGTACCCTGTCCTGGAATTGAACCATGACTTCCTGGTTCATAGTGGACACTCAACCACTGAGCAACACAGGATTGGCTAGCATTGGAGCCTTAAGAAGACTTGATTTCACAAGAAAAGAGATCAGGAACATAGGGTCAAGGTGAACAGAAGGTCTTGAAAATATTCAAGACACTTTGCGGTATGAGGCAAAACATTTCTCAAATACTTTTTTGATGAAACTAAGGAAAACATGCAAGTTTCACAATCTCTTTAGAATGAGTATGTGTGATCCCTTTGACCCTCTATCTGCACAGGAGTACGTGGCCCTCAGGAAGGTGATGATCAGAGCTGAATATCAGAAGATTCATAAGTTTCTCTGTGATGAGGAGCGCCTCCATCTGGACATGGTAGAGAGAGAATCAAAGGAGATCAACCACCAACTGGAGGAAAGCAAAATCAGAATGACCGGAAAGACAGAAAGCCTGAGAGGAATGTTCAGAGAGCTGCTGGACATGTCTCACAAGCCCGATTTGGAGCTGCTTCAGGTGAGAGGGGAGCGCCCATCAGTTGAGTCTGGAATCCTTTTCTGGACAATGTGGCCATGACACCAAAATGATATCTGTATACATCATTCCCTTCAGATGAGTGATTATGCTCCTTGACTCCCATCATCATGTCTGTCCAGTCAGTCACTTATTTTCTTGTTTCCTGGTAACCTTTGGGAGCTCTTTGCCTAAGTAGCTGACATAGGATAAAGTGATTTCAGTGTCATCTGAAGTACCTTCTCCGCAGACAGATTGCCCAAATTCAGTCAATCTCTGAGCAGGGCAACATTAACTTTGCTGTGGTAATTTTCTACTTACCCTTTCCTAATGCATTGATACTCTGTTATTGCCATAAAGCAACTTGCTAAAGACATTGATGTTTTGACCCTTGCCTAAGCAAGATTTTTAGAATTTGGCAATCAGTTTTAGAGATCTCTCCCTGTTTTGCTTTCATCGTTATAAATTGTCAGATCTCTCCTGGGGAATAACAGGACAATGAGTGATATTGGAAACCTAGACCTGGTTGCATCACTTCACTTCTCTGCCTGACCTCCTCCCATCCTCAGAACACCTTGGGGAAGCTCTGCGTGTTTTAGTTTAAGTGCCATTATTAAAATGGCCTCCGATTGTTCCTTAAAGGGGAATAGGAAAAAGAACATGATGAAAACAAACTCTGGAAAATATGTAAAAGGACATAATTTGCACATTTACCTTCTTTTTTGTTTGTTTTTTGTTTTGTTTTGCAGGAGTTGGGAACTGTGCTGGAAAGGTGAGTTCACATTAATATTTTATGAGAAAGTCATTCTCTTCTTGATGAGGGTGATGTACATGTTTAAACTTAGAAAGTAACTATTTTCTGTTTTCTTCCAAAAATGGCCCTGAGGCCTTCTGCTCTCAGAAGTTTCTTTTCCATGTAGCTGAATTCAAACATATTTAAAACATCTGACCTTCTGGGTTTTCTTACAGCACGTCATTCCCATCCTCTCCCTATTTAGCACAATAAAAATTACAGGAGTGATTATTTAAGGTATCACCAAAAAAAAGTATCTATACTGCAGAGTTGGAAGGTGAAAAGGGCAGGTAAGAGGATTCCTATGAATGGATTGGGATGGCTTTTGTTCCAAGAACTAGCAATGACTCGCCCTGTTCCATTACTGTAAGTCCCTTGTAGGCAGAGGGCAAGGTAATGACCTCCTGTTGCCCCCTAAGAAGTTAGACCTTCAGGAACAGAGCTGCAAGGCTGGAGTTAGGTCTCCTTGTTTGAAAAAAAAAAAAAAAAAAAAAAAAAAGATCAAACCTATATGGCTCTGTGGACACTCCCCTTTCAGACTCTGAATGTCTCATTGGTTAGGACTCTGAGACTCAAGTCCCAAAGGCTTTGCCTGGATGTTCTGCTCCCTGTCAAGATACCCAGGGGTTTGATTCCCTGAGGTGAAGTAGATGGAGGAAATGATTCTCAATCATTTTAAAAATGCAATAATATCTGAGAAGAATGAAGAGGTTGGCACATGATATAATTTATAAGTTTAGAAAAGAATTAAGGTAACATTTCTTATATCCCCAAGAGGGTAGACTATAATATATACTCCATTAGCACAGAATGAGAAGATCCTGATGAAATATCTTGGTTGAAAAGCTATGATTTTTAGACTGGTTTTGTGACTAACCTTTGCCTCCAAATGTCACAGGGCCGAACTGGTGCTGAATCAAATGCCTCAACCAGTGAATTCGGACCTCACTTCCTGGTCCTGCAATGGACTCCTGGAGATGCTGAACAAATACAAAGGTAAGAACTTTTCCTGTAGCATTAGGCCTCAATTTAGTTTTGGTTCTTAGGTTTATAAGGTTGTTTTTTTCTATTTTAATTTTATCTTTTCTGACATGAAGGCAGTCCATCACTTTCCAAAATTACATTTTCTTCCCTTGTGTAGTCATATCACAATGAACTTTGCAACTTATATTGAAAATACAAAGCAAGACACCCATTTTTATTGACATTTGGTATACACAGAGGAAGAGAAGAGCAATGAGGTTGACCATGTGGTCACGAGGAGATAGAATATTTAGTGCTCAGAGTAGCCATCAGTATTGTATGTTTACTCAGTTACCCCACTTTTGAATGTTTAAATATGGCACTGATGGATTTAACCTGTTGTATATTATCAATGCATTTATTATGCATTGCAATAAGAATATTTATTATTTATAAAATCAGAAAGTCCATAAAAGAACCGAAAATGTCATAAGCAGAATAATTTTAGTGCTGTTAGAACAATGTCAAAACCACTGACAGAGAAGGATCTGTGTACTGTGAAGTACTTCTGTGTGCTGTAGAGGTAGTGATGACCCTTGTTCTTTGTAAGTGATCCAGTCTGCACTCTCTTTGCTGTCTTTATTTTGTATTTCCTTGGAGGAGGGACAAATGAAGAGACTCTGCCCCTCAGGCCATTGAAATTTCATTTATTGACCTGATTTTTGCCTCTCTCGCTAGTGGCTGATGTCCTGAGTCATGGAACCATCAATCTCTGCATGAACCTTTCTGAGGACATAAGGAATATGCTGTTTGGAAATAACCGTCCCAACATATCCAGGGAGCCCCAGAAAGTGCGGAGTTTTGCGACATGGGGAACCCATACCTTCACCTCCGGGAAACATTACTGGGAGGCGGAGGTGCCACGCGACTTGAGTTGGGTTCTCGGAGTCTGTAAAGATATTATCATGAGAGAAACCGATTTCGTTATTGATTTTGAGGAAGCTTCTTTTCTATTTTCATTGAAGCTGAATGATCATTATTATCTCTCCACTAACCGCCCACTGTTAGTTCATCATGTGAAAATGCCTGTGGGTAAGATTGGAGTGTTTCTGGATTATGACAAGGGAATTGTGAGCTTCCATGATGCTAGCAATGGTTCCCTCTTATGTAGCTTAGCTTCTTGCTCCTTCTCTTACCCTCTGAAGCCTTTCCTTTGCTTTGAAGCTCCATAAAAAGTTAAGTTTTGCCCATTTCTTTCTGAATTCCCATGTCTCTGAAAACCATTTTTATGAAATGTCCTGTGATGCACCTGAATGATACTTAACACATAGTACTTTAAGGAAACACATTATTGTATGCTTATAGTGATACCTAACACATAAGACTTTAAGGGAACACAATTATTGTTTGCTTAGAGTGATACCTAACACATAGGACTTTAAGGAACACAATTATTGTAAGCTTAGAGTGATACCTAACACATAGGACTTTAAGGAACACAATTATTGTAAGCTTAGAGTGATACCTAACACATAGGACTTTAAGGGAACACAATTATTGTATGTTTAGAGTGATACTTAACACATAGGACTTTAAGGAACACAATTATTATAAGCTTAGAGTGATACCTAACACATAGGACTTTAAGGAACACAATTATTGTATGTTTAGAGTGATACTTAACACATAGGACTTTAAGGAACACAATTATTGTAAGCTTAGAGTGATACCTAACACATAGGACTTTAAGGAACACAATTATTATAAGTTAAGAGTGATACCTAACACATAGGACTTTAAGGAACACAATTATTGTAAGCTTATAGTGATACCTAACACATAGGACTTTAAGGAACACAATTATTGTAAGCTTAGAGTGATACCGAACACATAGGACTTTAAGGAACACAATTATTGTAAGTTAAGAGTGATACCTAACACATAGGACTTTAAGGAACACAATTATTGTAAGCTTATAGTGACACCTAACACATAGGACTTTAAGGAACACAATTATTGTAAGTTAAGAGTGATACCTAACACATAGGACTTTAAGGAACACAATTATTGTAAGCTTATAGTGATACCTAACACATAGGACTTTAAGGAAACACAATTATTGTATGCTTAGAGTGATACCTAACACATTGTACTTTAAGGGAACACAATTATTGTATGCTTATAAAATGGCGTAACCAGAATAAAGGCATAAATAAAGGCATAAATGTGTCTTTTCTGTTGTTTTTTTAAACATATAATATATATAAAAATAAATTAATTTTATTGTTGATAGTATTACAGATGTCTCCCATTTCCCCATTACTCCCAGCCTCCCAGCCTCTACCCACAACCTCCCAGCCTCTACCCCGGTCTTCTCTACAATATTGCCCCTGTCCATAAGCTACATGTATGTATATGTTATTTTGCTTTCTTTTATCCTCCCTCCACCCCCACCCCCACGTTAAAGTTTGTCAGTCTTCCATGCCTCCATGCATCTGGCTTTCTATTGGTCAATTCATTTTGTACGTTAGATTCCTAAAAAAAAAAAAAAAAAAAAAAAAAAAAAAAAAAAAAAAAAGTGAAATTACGTTATATTTGTGATATGCTCACATCATTATTTATTCTCCTCCAAAACAGACATGGTTGTAGAGACACAATATCAAACAAACAAACAAAACAAACAAACAAACAAAATTACAATAACCCATCCACACAAAGCAAACAATGGCAATTTAGAAATAAATTTCTAATTTCCCTTCATCTATCTATATTGTACATGTTCTTGTCTCAGTTTAATAATCCATAGTTTGGTGGTGCGGGGAGAAGGCCTACGGGATTGATGCCTTCAACCCCTGTGGGGAACAAACCCCTGAAAAATGGTGGAAATGATGGAGAGAGCAGTCAGGAGCAGAGAGGAAGTTGGCTGAGCTGGGAGGTTGCAGGTCCTGCTAGGTGAGCCCAGGGACAAAGGCTGATGGATTAGTCACAGGACACGCTCTCCCTTGGACACAAAGCTATCTCAAAGCTTAGGCCGGCCTACGCTAGGCCCGTCTTATCCCAGGGCTTCTTAACCGGGACCTAAATTGTGCTCAGAGGAAAATGAGAGACAACTTTGGAGCCAAGCGATTCAGGAATGTTGCTTCCTAGCTGTGTGACCCTGGGTACATTACAGAATGATCTGAGCCTCAGTTTACACATCCTTAGATGGGGGTCATACCTTCCCCCCAGGATTATTATGAGTCAAAATAATAATAATAATGGTAATAATAATAATACCTCCAGGACACCACCTCCCACACAGAGGAAACGTATGGTTTCTTATTCCTTGTTAACCATATAGAGACCAGGCTAAGTCTATACTTGCTCTGACAGGGAGGAAGAGAAGAGCCACAGCCAGCCTGGCCCTGGCACTGGAGGTAGAGATAAATGATGAGAGTGAAACAAAGGTGGGAGGATGATAATGGCAGTGAAAAGGAGGAAACAGGTGACATGAGGAAGGCTCGAGGGACCCAGGCACAGCGTATTGCACTGAACACCTCCATCCACCTCAGTCCTTTCTGAAATCTGGGAGAGAGAATGGGTCCCGATTTATTCACATCTCTGAGTTCCGGGATGTCCCAAAGAGATGCTACGTGAGAATCAAAAAGGCCCAATCTACTGGAATCACAGACTTTGCCCCTAAAACACACACATACTTCTAAGTGGCCTCAGGGTTTCGGGGAGGCTGAAAGGAAGCTGGAGAACTTCAAGGAAAAGTCACCCCCAATTGTAAGTCCGAAGATGAAATCTGCCCTAAGATGACAGTCAGCATGCATTGAGAGCCATGTGCTTTTGATACCTACTTGTACCAAAGAAGGGAGCAGAGGAACTTATCAATTTCCTCTAATTTTTTTCATCACCCACCCTTCACACATACTCTCACATGTGCCCTGGCTCACATGAACATTTAGTCTGACACTGTGTCTGTCTGCAGAGGATAAAGGAAAGGAGCTAAAGATGGGTTTTATCTCACTTTTGGGGGGATTTGCCTCCCCGTCTGAGCCTTTGAGTCTGGGTGAGGTCAAAGGTTGCACACGTGCTTGTTTTGCTCCTCTGTCACTAGCTACCAATTTTCATTCTTAGGTCTTCTCTGCTCCGTGTCCTGCCCCATGTGTCCTGATCCTGTGTCCTTGAATTCCCACTTGCTTTGGGACTTAAGTTATTGTTAATTCGTCAACAATATTTAAAAATAGAAAAGTCCTGGAGGAAACTCTCTAGGTTCTTTCCTTTGGCTTCTTGTTTTCCAGGTACTGTAAATTGTTGACGATGGATGCCAAGCAGGCTTGGTTCAATGGCTAAACCTCTTATCATATTACAGTGCAATGCTTGTCTCAGCCTGATCTCACCACCAGAGCACACACAAACTTGAATAAAACTGGTATAGCAATGAAAAAAATAATAATCCATAGTTTGAAATAACGTTACTTAATTACTTGTGCTGTGCATTCCTTTATAATTGTCAACACATTTATATATACTTAAATGTTATTAGTATTCTCTACTAGATGGAAATTCACAGGATGATCAGATCAGTACTCTCATCTTCCCTAGTATCTCCATCTAGAGCTAAATCATTCATACATTATACTTTCTGTATACTAAGTACATGATGTAATGTCATCATAGTCATATCTCAGTATCCACCCCCTGCCTTTCCCTCTGTAAGTCTAGCTGTGAAGCTCTCTGTGTCATTTCCCCATACCTCTCAAACAATCCACTCTCTTTTCAGCTGTGATTTATCTGCTGGTTAAACTGTTTACCAAATATCAAGTTTTTATAACATTTTAAAAATTTGTATAAACTCTATTTTTTTCATCAATATGGTGGCCATATTCCACCTAATTTTTTAGTTGTGTGAAAACTCAACTTCAAAATAAGATTGTACTTTTGTAATCCGAACAATGAGGCCCCTGCCATATTATACAATTAAAGAGCCCCTTTAAACTTACTTAATTATATGTAATGTATTTTTCATTATGTGTTAATATAAATAATATGTTTTACATTTGTAGTTAAACATCATTATTCATTACCCATTTTATTGAATATTCTGTAGCTACTCCCTCTTGTTTGAAATGCCAGCAGGTTAAAGAACACGTGGGTGTTTATAAATACAAAAGCTTTTAGTATATTTTAATTTCAATACCTATTGCTGGTATTTCAAAATAAGGTTCTAATTTTACTTGACATTTTTTGTCTTTCTTTATGACTTTATATTGCTTAATTTATAATATACAAACTGTGCTTTTATAAAAATATTAGTGATCTGGGGGGCACAAAATTCATGCATGGGCAGGAGGGTGTTCCTCAGCCCAGCCTGCACCCTCTCTAAACTGGGACCCCTTGGGGGATGTCCAATGCAGGTTTCAGGTCTCAGCAAGCAGTTAGACATCTCTCTCACAATCCGGGACTACTGGCTCCTAACCACTCACTTGCCTGCCAGCTTGCTCATCCCCAACTGCCACCACCACTGGCTTGATCACCCCTAACTGGCCACCCCTGTCAGCCTGCTTGCTCCCAACTGTCCCCCCTGCCAGCCTGATCATCCCCAACTGCCCTACCCTCCTAGCCTAATCGCCCCCAACCACCTCTTCCTCAGCCCCACCACCATGGCTTTGTCCAGAAGGACTCCCAGTTTAATTAGCATATTACCCTTTTATTATAATAGTATAGATACAAGTAAACAATATAAATCAAAAGCTCTCAACTTTCTCATCACTGGTGGTATTTAATTCATATTTTGGTCAAGTGTTTATGCTAAAATAATTAATCTGTGGTAATTTTAGTCTCATTAGATCTCAAAAAGAGTAATTTTATTGTGCAAAAAAACCAAAATAATAAAAGCAATTGAAACTGTGCCAAACACTCAGTTTTTAACTGAAAGTTGATTTTTATACTATCTGTAAACAACAACACAGCCATCATAGATGTCCCCAGTAACCGGGTCCACCTCTGCTAGGACAATGAAACCCTTAGCTACCACCCAGCAGCAGATGACAGTGCTGAGAAGAAAGGGACACAAACCCAGGTTGACACCTGGAGAATTTCCTGTGGTGGTTTTGCAGCCAGGAGCCATAGCCCCATGCCACCCAGAGACAGGAGTGGGAGGTGCCCAGCTGTTTGATGCTGGCTCCTCCCACTGCAGAACCCAGCAAAGGAACCTGAGTTTCAGTCCCCTATAAAGCTGCTGGTA